AATCTTTCTGCAACTTTAAAAATTCAGAAAATAATTCATCATTTTTTCCCGACTTTAAAACGTAAAAAGTAACTAATCAATTCTTATTTAAGTTTTTGAATATTCAAATAATAATTTCATCAGTTTTCAACAATCTCTAAAAATTCAGATAATAACTCGTCCTTTTTTTATTAAAAATCCAGATATTAAATTAGTTTAAATTGTATTATGCTTTTTATAAAAAAAAAAAACAATATTGTTATACTAAAAATATATAGAAAAGAAATTTTGAAAACATAAGCTTAGAGGTGGTTGGAAGAAAAAAAAATTGACTTCTTGAAAATGTTAATGAACTTGATATTAGTTAAGTGAAGTGATATGAATTTTACTATTGCTATAAAAAGGGAAGTGAAATTTGTATTTTCATCCACAAGTAACAATTTCAATATTCTCTTTTTACGATTTCGAACTTGTTAATGGTTAGTTGGAAAAACGATTTTCAATTTTATCGAGATTACCCAACGCTGAGGTACTTTCACTTACTATTTGCGATTTTTTTTTCAAGTTTGTAAAATATAGTTTTTTTATGCATGTGCATGTTTAGGAATATGATATTTACAKAAACCAAACAACTTCCGCTGACGATTTGCATTTTTATCAAAGTTCCAATAATGGGGTATTTTCATTTTACTATTTTATGACATATTTTCACTTACTATTTTTTAATATAGTTTCTAATATAGTTTTCTTGCATGTGTATGTTTAAGAATATGATATTTACACAAACCAAGCAACTCAAGGTGAAAATTTGCATTTTAATCAGAATTCCAATGATGAGGTATTTTTACTTACTACTTCGTCATATAATTTTCATCTACTACTTTTTAATATAGTTTATTTTTTCTATATTTGTATGTTTAGGAGTATAATATTTACACAAATCATACAATTCAAGATGATGATATTCACGCATCAAAATTTTCCACCGACAAGGTGTTCAAATCTCGTCAAGATTTAATCGATTGGGTGTAAAAGTTGGGACGTTCTCTTGGCTACATTATTGTCACGAAAAGATCTAAGACAAAACGAAGTGGAGTTATGTCTAAAGTTATATTAATATGCAATCGTGGTGGTAAATACAGAGATAACGGTAGTTCTATTAAACATATTGGAACTAAAAAATTGAACTGTCCATTCAAGTTAGCAGGAAAATATTCGCTGAAGAATGACTGTTGGACGTTAACAATGATACGAGAAAAACATAATCATGAACCTGCAGAAAATATGGAGGGTCATTCATATGCAATGCGATTGACTGAAAACGAAATCCGCTTGGTGGAAGATTTGTCAAGGAAGAATGTCAAACCACGTGATATTCTATCAACATTGAAAGAGCAAACTCCACATATGTGTCTACACTTAGAACAATATACAATGTACGTCGAAAATTTTGGACGACCGAACATGAAGGTAGAACTCAAATGCAAGTTGTCATGTCATTTCTGCAGGAAGAAGGCTACATGCATGAGGCGCGTGCAAATAGCTCTAATCAGTTGGAAGATTTATTTTTCATCCATCCAATATCATTGACGTTGTGGTGTGCATTTCCACACGTGTTGTTGATGGATACCACGTATAAAATGAACATGTATAAGATGTCCCTCCTTGAGATTGTTGGTGTAACATCAACTAATATGACTTTTTGCATAGCATTTGTTTTTATGCATAAAGAAAAAGAATCCAACTATACATGGGCATTGAGTTGTCTCAAAAAGACAATGGACGGATGTGCATCCCCACGTGTTATCGTGACCGATCGAGAGTTGGCATTGATGAAAACATGTAATAATGTATTTCCCGATGCTAAACAACTACTTTGTAGATGACATATTTATCAAAGTATGTTGAGAAAGTGCAAACTATCAATAACGTCGCATCAATCTTGGAATTTCTTTTACAAAGCATGGACGTCATTAGTTGAATCTCAAACAGAGGAAACATACAAATTCAATTTGGCACATGCTCGAGTATCTAGGTATTGCTTCTCTCTATCTCTTTCTTTATCTTTATATATGAGTAAAGTTAATATTGCTCGAGTCTCCGGGTATTAATTTTCCATACGATTTTTCATAATGTTTTATCTTTTTTTTTTTGTTACTCTATTTAATCCAAATGACTTAATATTCAAATTTATATGTATTTGACTGAAATAAAATTATCCATGCGTATATGTATCCGATTGAAATGAATTTGTTTAAATTTCAGGCATTCTTGATTATTTGAACGAAATATGGTTGAAACCATATAAGCAAATGTTCGTATATGTTTGGACCGACAGATTTCTTAACTTTGGAAATCACACAACTAACATAGTTGAAAGTCAACATTCTAAGTTGAAACTATACTTGGATTCGAACCAAGCAACTTTATGGGTGTTTCTGTAATATATTCATCAACTCATTCACTCACAGCATACGTCAATTAAAGCAAGCTTCCAATAGAGCAAAAATGTTGTCAAGCATCGATATAACAAACCATACTTCCACAAGCTACATGGTTTTGTTTCATTGCATGCGTTGGAATTAATTTTTAAAGAATTTGAGTGGTCAAAAGATCTTGACTTAGTTTCAGGAAACTGTAAATGTCAACTGCGTACATGTTATAGGTTACCATGTGCACATGAACAGACATGTTATTTCAATGCAGACCAATCTACTCCACTTGAATCGATTGACGGATTTTGAAGAAAACTTGATTTATCACCGTGTATATCTGTGGAAGATGATGATATTTATTGTGATGATGAAGTGCAAATGTTTACTGAGATCTTCAAAAAACAATCGAGATCAATGAAGTCCAGTTTTCTAAGAAAGTTAAGAGAGATAATCACGCCTTGGATAACTCGTATTTGTAAACCGACTGTTCATACAACAACTCGTGGTCGTCCCTCATTGAAGAGTAAGGTTGTCAAAAAAAGTCGTCTCGATCCACCAACTCAAGAATCTCATAGGTATAGTTGTCCACACACGTCAACATTTGTGGAGTTTGATGTTTTGGCGAACAATGAACAAGCGAGACATAGTTCATACTCGACCAAAAAATTTATGCACATCCATACATTAATCAATTTCCAAATATTTTTCATCCTTACATCGTGCAGATACGTAACGTAGTTCATGCAAGTTAATTTTTTTTTATCTGAATGTATTAATCAATTTTTAAATAATTTCATCTTTACATCACACAGGTATAAGATGTAAAAGACGATGAAACTGTGGATTTCGAGCGATTGCCGTTTGTCTCGGTCGCCACGAAGATGAATGGCCATCTATTTGATATGATTTAATGGAGGAGTTAAACATGTACAAGACAGAATATCTCGAGGTGTATGACATTGAACTATGACATCAACTTTATAACTCCTTAAACTTCTTTGAGCTGGACTCATTTGCACCAAATGAGCATTGGATGGATGTTTTTGGAACGGGCTTGTTGATTGCTTCAAGATACAATGTGATACTACATTCTTTAACAACTATATGTAGTTTGACATTCTTCCTATTTCGATCTAGTCCTCCGTCGTGGTATGAATTTGTTGTTTTTACTATTGGTTACGTTAACGGTAATCATTACGTTAAAATATCTTTGGCAGAAGGGCACCCAATGCCTTCTATCGTGCCAAATTGGTTTCGTTTCAAATATGATTGCACAACCGCATGGGCTACTCCGTACATGACCCGAATAAATAAGTACGAGCAACTGTTATCTAGTAATCGTACTACAAAATTTATTTCATTTGATTGAGTTGTAATATTTTTAGACTTTTTGTACTCTATTTGTTGATTTATCAATTAACTTATTTTGATGATCTTTTTTATATTAGATTAATTTTATCTTTGCAGCTTTAAATATTTATTTAGAAAAAATACATGTATAAATTATTAATTAATTAAAATATTAACAATACAATTATAAAAACTAAAAATAATTTTATAGTTATTTGAATTAATTTAGAAATAGTTAGTTGTCAAAATTTTATTATCTATACTATATTATAAAGCATTTGACAAAAACTTTTAAAAATCATTTTTTATGCGTAAAATACTGTTTATTAATGCATATTACTTAAAACTCAAGACTACAAGTAGATTATGCGTAAGTACAACTTATTAAAGCTCCATATATGAATTTGTGTAACTAATTGCAGATAAACATAATCAAATACAAAATAAACATCTTATTTTAAATATAAAAAATCTAAAATATAATTAAGATAATCATTGAGTTCTAACAGAATACTTAATTATCTATACTATATTATAAAACATTTGACAAAACCTCTTAAAAACCAACTTTTATGCACGAATTACTGTTTATTGATGCATATTACTTATAATTTAATATTACAAGTAAATTATGCATAAGTATAACTTATTAATGCTCCATATTTAAATTCATGTAACTAACTTTAGATAAACATAATCGAATATTGGATAAACATCTTATTTTAAATATAAAAAATTTAAATTATATCATTGAGTTCTAACAGAATACTTAGTTAGTATCTTTATAAAAAATTATATTATTAAACCTGAATTAAATTTATTTGTTAATAAACCTAAATTAAATTATAATTAAAAAAACTGAATTAAGAAAATAACACCAAAACACAAGAACTTTTAAAAAGATTAATTTGATACTGATATCGATATATATTTTTTTTTTCAAAATTTTATGATATTTTCAAATTTATATTTTATTAAAAAATAAAAAATATTATCGCTTTTTCAAAATCACATAAAACCGTATTATAATGATATAAAAAAGAAATAAAACGAAACACTGAAATCAAGATGTGTCTTGATGCATTGCACAAATATCCTTTTAGTAAAACATAAATTTAGAAAAGTAAAATTAAAAAATAATGTTGAAGAAAATTATAAAATTATAAATTTTTGAAAAAAAATTAATGCAACATATATCTTCACCCTTAAATAACTAAGCGCAAAAACTTCAACGTGTTATCTCACTTGTGAGAGAGAGAGATGGGAGAGGTGAAACACATTCTTCTAGCGAAGTTCAAGGATGGAATCTCGGAAGAAAAAATCGAAGATCTGATCAAAGGTTATGCAAATCTTGTGAATAAAGTCGAACCCATGAAGTCCTTTCGATGGTAACATTCCACAATCGAACTTTTAAATTGATCAATTGTCTATGATTCAATGTGTTTTAGTTTAACCTAATTATTTCAGTCTTCTTTTTGTAAAATTGGCTTGCGAATATGTGTTCATCGTCTTGATTTTAGATTCGTTACTAAAACAGATCTGATAGCTATAGGCTTTATTTGCTTTATATGATGTTTCCTGAAATGCAAGGAATTTTAATGTGATGTTGATGAGTTTATTACATCCTCTGTTACTGGAGATCTACTTTGACTCTTGTGCTCAAATCGATTTGTTTGAAATCGACATTGCAATGTAAATCTGTCTGCATTTTCTCTATCACAGGTTAGGTTTACGTTTTAGTACCATTTAGGATTGTTCGCCATTGTCATATGCTCGTTTGCTTCTTTTGACTTTTTGTGATTCTGGATCTGGTTTAGGGGAAACTTTGGTGACATTTGGTTCGACGGAATGTGATGGAATTGGAATTGTCAATTTCGTTGACCAAATTCCATTCTAATGTTTGGTTACTTATGGAATGGAATTGAATTCCAAATATTCCCAAATTTGAGGAATTCACTATTATGGAATTGAATTCCATTCCATCCAAAAGTGTTTAAATGACACAAATACCCTTCTGCTCCTATTAAACCCTAGCCACTGCTTAACACTTTGGTGATATTCATAGAGAGCTAATGTTTAGGTTGGAAGGAGGTAGGAATCCTCTCGATGTTTCTATAGCATCATTACAAACTAATGTTGTTTTCTTGAAACATTTTTTTACGAAGGAAAGTGAAAAAGCTCGTGTTCTCGAAACATTTTTAGGAGAGAAATAAAATGGATAAGTTTCCTCTCAAAACTTTCCTTCCAGACGTGGGAGGAAAGGAAAGAAATTAAAACCCTTTAAAAAATTATTAGAATTACAAAACTACCAGATGTTTTTATTACAAGGGACATATTTTTTAATAAACTAATTCTGATTCTTCAAATTGCAATAACTGCTTTGAAATTGCATATCCAAGCTCCCCTTAAGTGATACACATTTTAAGGTGTGGAACGATATTTGAATCACTTATGTCATAAACATGGCAAAATGTTTTTGTGTTCGATAACGAGTGCCCAAGGAAGGCGGGTCTTTGCTCGTTAACGCGTTTTACTTAATTTTCAAGTAAAGGGCAATAATGATGAACAAGGCTAATCGGCTTAATTTTCAAG